AGGGTAGGAAACAAGAAGGCGGAGCTTTCGGTGGCGGCTGCATGGGCAACAAAATAATAAAGATAAAAATAAAGCGTCTGTCACCATGGTACGCCACCCAGCTGTTTGCCAGTCTTTGGACGGTAGCCGTTTTTCTTCACCGTGTAGGCGCCACAACACAAGCAAGTGAGGGTAATCGGTGAGCGGGTGTGCAGCTGCAAATCCGCGGTGGAGGGGAAGGGCGAAGTGGGCAGTTGAAAAGGACAAAACGAATGTAAGAGAGTGACAGACGGTCAAACACGGGAAGGGAAATTGAGTTTTGGCTGCAGAAGCTGCAAGGCGCTGCAGGAACTTGACGCACTGCAGTCACCACAGGCACAAGAGGCCGTTGTTGTGCGTTGGTGAGGCGCCGTAGAGTGGAAGTATATAGACTTCCCGCTTTTGTGCTGAGCACCCTGCATGTACGTTTGGAGTTGTGTGGTAAGCGAGCTGTGCTTCGCTTTGTGTATATCTGCAAGAGACGTCGTCTTTGTTCTTGGTGCCGTGTTTGGTGCCGCTGACGCTCCTATCGCGTCGGGGCGGAAAACGGAAAGACTTTGTGGGAAGTGGTACCAAAAAGGGGGAAACACGGGACAGAAAGATTGTCAAATATGACCGATCTCTCTCCCGAAGGTAGTGGAAGCTGTCGGTTCTGCTTGCATGCAGTGTTCTTGGATACTCTGCATTGTCTCTGACGAAACCTGGAGATGAGAAAAGAAGAAGCAGGCCCGATTTTGCAGAATAGAAAATTAACCGCTGAAAATAAAACAAGACCAGGAATGCCCCAATACTTAATATTCTGGTCAAAAAGACACGGTTGGTGATGTTCACTGGTGGTGATATTTGTTCAGACGAGCTAGTCCCAGACAGGATGCTAACCTGTCTGACAATAGGAGTTTGGCGAGTCCGCTTTGAGGGAAGAGGGTATCATTCGAGGACTAATAGTTTAGAAAAGAGGCGGGGGGGGGGAATCTCCATGTGTCAGGAAATTCACACCTGGACCTCAAGTAAACGGAGATGGTGCCGGAAGACGTCTTGGCGGCATGGCAGGTATAGACAAGGATGGTGTACGACAAAAGGATGGTCAAGCAGGGTCGCGCCAGAAACAATAGGCAACATGCTCTGTGCTGAGTGGAGGCTGAGGTCTGGAGCAGAAGAAAAGAAAATTATAAGAGGAAAAAGATGTGCAGCTGAAAAACAGTTGGGGATAAGAGTTCAAATTCAAAGTCAAAGGGCAAGGTGCAAAGACTGGGACAGTGAGAAAAGAAAGCTTGGGCATATAAAAAAGAAATAATAGCAAATCTTAGAAACGGCGGGCAAGACCTGTCCAGCCGTGTAACGCACTTGGGATCCTTTGACATTTTGGAAGCGTAGAGCGATGCCAAGGGCACGAGACGAGTACCGCGGGTAACAAGGGCTTGCTCGACCCGAAGAGCGGGCTCGTCGAGGCGCCACTTGAGACGGCGACATCTCGTCCTGTCGTCCTGTCGTCCTGTCCTTTTCAAGCATTGTTAGCCCGGGACCTGAAATAGTGCCGGCGCATCGTCTTCCCCTCTCTTGTTTCCCCTCTCGTGTTGTTTTTCTTTCCGAATGCCAAGCACCTCCTCTCCTGCTCTCACCCACAAAAAATGGTAGTGGACCGAGCCGCATCACGTCCGTGCCACCTCAGGTTTGGCTTTCTTGGGCATGCCAGCATGGAGATGATTTGCGTCGCGTACAATGAAGTCTAAAAGAAAGCTGATGGATTGCCGGGTGATGATGAACAGGGGGTTCGAGATGGGTGAGGGGAATTGGCGCGGAGCAAGCCGGTAGTGGAGTACAGGTTTGACCAACATCTATCCCGGGCCAGACCATTCTGTGGCCAAGAGCCCAAGCACCAGACATTGTTCGACTCCAAATACGTCGTATATCGTCCTGACTTTGTCTTTGTTTCATGTGTGTCGAGAACAGAGCCCACAGCGATGGATCCGACCTTTGCAGCCACCTTGTGTGCGCCACGAGGATTTGGCCGGGGCTGAAGCGCAAGTTGACCCCGAGCGGGCGGGGGGAGGGGGGGGGGCAGCTCACATGCATGCCCGCCTTTGGTATGGAGCAAGAGTACGACGTACGATGTACGACGTACTCGACGGCTGGCAGAATATTTCCCCATTGCCGACCAGCGCCGACAATCTTTTCTTTCTTTAGGCACAGGTTGTCTAGCTCTTGTCGTGCCCGATGTGACGAAGCAAACAAGACACAAGGGTGACTCTCCAGCGGAAGAAAAACGTAAACAATTGAGCGATCCTGGGCGTTTGGTGCTGCTCATGCATGCATCGACAGGGCAGGTCTCCCCCACTTTTTCTTTTCCAGGCCCTCGCATTGTTTTCGGAGGATTGAGCATTGTCGTGTGTGTTGCTGCGTGAACAGTTTTCTATCCACAGCGCCGCGCCGTGGAGGTGAGTGTTCTCTTTGAGCAGCGTGCATATCGTACGTGCATATGCAGGCGAAAGCCCATGACCGTGGACGACGTCTTATTCGCCGTACCTCGTAAGTACCCTGACATTCCTTGTTCTGTCTCGTCGGCCTGGCCATGTGAGTGTGAGACCATGTACAGGGAGCGGTGGCTGGCGTGGGCTTAGTGTCTGCTTCGTACCGAGAAAACTCGCGTGCCAGGCTAAAGCCTAGCTGACAAGCTTGTCGACCAGCCTGAATAGGTTAAGCAAGGCATGGCTAGCGAAACCGAAGCGTGGGAGTGGCCGTGCTGAGAGACGGCCGATGTCGAAAAAGGGATGGGGCGTGAGGGGCGACTCGGGGGACATTTCAGGTGGAAACATGACAACAAGAAATGAATGATGTAAAAAGAGACGACAAGTCGAACGTGCCGATGATCGATGTGCGACCAGAATGTTATTGTCTGGACTTTGGAGTTCCGAGAAACAAAAATCACTGAACGGGAGGTGGGAGGTAGTGGTGGTGTGGTGTTGCAAGGACTGACATAAAGGCGGGTCGCACCTTCTTTCCTTGCAAATAAACTCCGCGTTCTAAAATGGGAATCAGCGAGACTCCACACAAAGTCCGCATTGTAGTAACACCTGGTAAGGAATACTCCTTACGCATGTTTCCTATGTTGCCTGGAGCGTTTCGTTTTGGACAGAGCAATTGCAGGAAATCAAAGGTAAAAGAAAAGAAGGAGCGATGTACCTGTGGAAGGGACAGTCAGGGAATGTGGACTTAAGTTCCTAATTCAAGGTCTGGAAAGAGCCGACGACGAGAGGCTTGCACAATAGGATTCCATGAAAAGAAAGAACGGTGTGCGAAAAATAGAGGAAGGAGCGAATGAACAAGGGTTGCGAAAAGGAACACACACAAACAATGTCCTTGACTCTGGGACGGCGCTATCCCACGCTGCGACAGCTGAGTTTGGGGGGGGGGGGGCCCAAGAGCGGCCATGTCGGTGAGCGTGTCCCTTTGAGCATACCGACAGTGTCCATGAAGTCTCATAAAGGAAATTGTAACGCGGTGTACAGAGCCGCCGTGTCGCATGCCGTGTGTGTCACACCACTCAAACGCCTGGCATCCCATCTGCAAGTACAACGGTCTGGGGCGAAGTATTTAAGTACCTTGCAATGTGCACTTACTCCATACTCAGTTTTGTATCTTGGCTATTTGTTCTCAAAGCGAAGCACTGGTCTTGTTTTTGCGCCGAACGTAAGACGCCCTTTTCGGGATGTACGCGTACTCCATATCTGTACACAGCTTGGGTTATCATCAGTAGCAGGCAATATTTGTGTACATCCATATTTCCTCCTGTACGTCGTACTCGGTAAACACAACGACACCCTTGTCACAAACCCCTGGTCAAACGGTGTTTTCAATAACAGCGATAATGCGACGTATCTTACATTCGATGCCTTGGGGTTATACCGCCATGCTACAGATGCACCCTCGCCGGAGACTGTCCACGAACGACCTAGTCTGAATCATCGTTCTGATTATTGACAAGGACTTGGACAAGAATCATAAATATCTGACATCAATATCAGTGTCCTCGTGCATGCGACGTACAATAGGCGTCAATATGGTGATCGTCGACGTAGCTTGCTCCCATACGTTGTACGACTTAATAAACTGCGAAGCTGTATTGCACACATATGGGCTTTCCAGTCTCGTATTCGTAAACATTAACTCATTTCATGAACTCCCGGGTCCCTAAACTAATGGTAGTCCACCACAATGTCATTAATCTCGAACTGAGCTGTAGTAAGAATCTGAAAATATACACTTGTGGGGGGGCGTGACGAGGCAACGCGAGAAGAGAAACGGGGATACACCAGGTCTCTTCTTCAAGGAGCCGGACTTGTGTAAATCAACGAATTCGATATACGTACAAGAAGATGTTCATCGTCTTCCCTTCAACATGCTGCAACCAGTAAGGTGCATGTTGCCAAGTGAGCAGAGCAACTTGCTTGCTACAGAGAGACCTGAAGGGCCTGTCCTTTGTTCCACTTGTCAGTGTAACGCTGCTAGCCCGCGGAGCCGGTTTGACGTGGCCTGGCCCTCTTCAGTAGGATCCACACAATAGAGACTCCCTGAATAATCTTTCCCATAGGGCAGCAATGTTATTTGGCTGTTAGGCACCTGGCCTGGCTTCCTCCACGCAGTGATACTAGCCCCTCCTGCTGCCAGCCCTGACCTTTAACATTGTATGTTGTAATACGCCCGTAGGGAGAGAGGCAAAATAGACGTTGCACTCAGGGCATGCGCCATACATCTCTTTCTGGAAGAATGCATGCATGTGTTGTATCAGTCTGTTACAACGAGCTAGATAGTCTCATTTGAACCTGTGACTCTTCTTTCCTCGCATGGAGCGTGCCTCGTCATTTGGTGGGGAAGAGGGGATAAGATGCTGACGAATTCCCCGAGAAAGACAACGAGAACCGAACGAAGTGTAGTAAGTGGGAAAAGCGGGCTCAGCGTGTTTTCGGGCCCGGCCGTTTCCCTCCCTAGATGACCATTGTCCTGGGCTGCCAGTTGACTTCGTAGAGTTGGCTGATAAAGTAGAATTCGTTTTCGTAGTCGTTTGTATCCAGGACCGCCTGCCACTTCGCTTCTGTCATATGTGTTAGCATTGCTTCTCAGGAAGTACCGTGATGAAGTTGCAACATAGATTAGTAATATGACCTACTCTGATCGATGGCATACATCCGGGTATGCCGTACTATCCCCATGGCACTTTGGTCGAGGTTGGCAAGGTTGCGTATGTCTTGTTCACGAGCAGTCTCGGTGAACGGAAAGGCACCTTTGTTGCAATAGTGGAAGTATGCAAGAAGCGTGATGGCTCCTATATCGATTAGTTCTCGTTCGTTATGGGGAAATTAATTGAGATGGTGATGCCGATAGACCTTACCCGTGTAGTACTGCTTAACCTTGTCCTCGCGTGCGAAGCGCCTCTGTTTCGATTCGGTCCGTAATTAGTTCCCTGTACTATGACCCTTGTCTGCTCCTATCAGTTGCGTGGTGGGAACAAACCTTCAGCCCGTGCTTCCTCGCATAGCTCGCATCGTGCTTAATAACAAGGGAAGCGTTGTGCAACAGCATGAATGTAACCAGGTATGTTGTAAACCAAGTATTGATCTTGTTGTTGTGGAACATATCTTGAAGAGCACCGAGGACGTCGTGTCTCAAGCTGTTTTGAATTTCGTGGATAAGAACGGAGTCGAGCTGCGCTCCCATGACGGGCGGAATCGGGATCTTTCCATGAGACGGACTCGTCTCGTCGAGTATGTTCATTGGCATACCAAGAGTTTCTTCGCCGACAATCTCGAAGGAACGTGTTGTTAAGCGCACTGTCATCCACAACTCCAGCGTCTTGGCGAGAAGCTTGTTCTCGTCTTCCGACAAGTGATTCTTTGCGTGAGTCAGCTTAACCGCGATCCAGTAGGTCGGCCAAAGCACCGAGTCCTTATGGTCCGCTAGGACTTTGCTGCAACATGCAACCAAACCTCTCTTGATGTAGGCGCTGTACTGCGGTGCAATAGCCTCGGGTTCGATGACAGCATATGGTGGAATCTGTACCGACCGCGTCTCCCCTTTGGGTGTCACCCAGGAACGCTCGAGACTGTCGCCGTCTTGCGGAACAAATTTGCGAACCCGAAGTTCGACAAACTCATTCGTGTAGCCTTCTGAGATGCGAAGAATCCTCACCTCGGACGAGGCCCAGTGACCAACATCATCAAGAACCGTATTCTCTTTCCAGCGAAGTGTCCACTCGTGGCCTTTTACCTGTGTCGTTTTGGAAAGGATCACATCAGTGACCTTCAATCGTAGACAAGGCAACCGCCACGTACGGCCCAGTGAGTTCTTACAGCCAAGACACACTCCCTTTGGATTGCCCTCTTCAGCATTGCACTTCACGATATTGTTAGTTTGCAAACTCTAATGGGGAAAACAAAAATTAAAAAAGGCTAATACTTACCCTAATACGCTGCATACGGCACCTTATGCAACAGCCATCCTTCCTCGTCTGTGCAGTTTTCTGGCGCTCAGTCTGGTCCTTGAATGGCCCACGTCTAGCAGCTGGTGGTCTTGGATGTCGTTGGATCGGCATATCAAAGGTAGATTCAGTCACACAGGGTGTCGTTGCAACATGGCTGCTGTCACGGCGGTGACTGTGGTGCTTAATGACAGTATTCAGCATGGGAGCTGTGTAGTGCGGAGCCGCATTATTCGGATATGGCACCACTGCAACTGATTGCGGCATACCAATTGTTGTCGAGGTCGAAGGCAGGGGTACTGCCAGAGGTGCTTGTTGTGCAGGAGCGATGTTGGACACATCAAACGGTACTGCTGCAGGTATCAAAATAGGCGATGGCATCGTATACTGTGTCTCCGCTGTGACTGTGAGTGGTCTCGGAGAGAAACGATTGCCAGCAGGCACTTCCCCAAGAAAGTTTTGAATCTGAGGCGCTGGAGCTGGGGCCATTGAAACAGAGAGTGTAGTCGGCGGGATGGAACTCAATTGAGCCACGTCACTGGCTTCCGGTTTTGAATAGCTATTTGGCGGTATTTGTTCGTTCGGGTAATACATGGTCTCAAAATGAGTATTTGGCTGTGTCTTCGCAAGCCGCGGGTCTTCCACAGGACCTGCTGAGGTCGTGAGTGTTGGCTGCATGGCCGGGTAGCTTTGCATGAATTGTGACGATTGCGTGTTGTCGTCCGACAGCCAATTTGCAGGCTGTGAAGGGAATCCATCGTTGAAAGCCAAGTTGGCTTGGCCCAGGTCGGTTGCCCTACTGACTCCTGCATACGATCCGTTCTCAACGTATTGTCTGGATTCAGGGAGGACTGATGGTGTAGCGGAGACCGTGGTCATAACCGCGTCGTATTCTAGGCAATTACTTTAGAAAGACACGCACGCATATAATGATAGCAAGTGCTGCAATGATGGAAAACTGAAAAACGCACCTAGAGGAGTTTCCGGACTTGTTGATGGCTGGCACGACGAGAGACTAACTAGGCAATCTGCGACGCCGGATGCAGTTGATCCAAGAAAGGAACCGCCATCTGTTAAGGGGAGAGAAAAGAATGGCCGCCGTTCTGACTCAGCCTGTCCCTGGGCTATCAGGTTCTGAGAAAGAGGAGCTTTCTCCAGGCCACGGCCAGGATGAGAAAATCGGTATTTGGGAGACATATTTAGAAAAGATATGTCAGCGCTGTGGCGTGCCCGTTTCTGATGAGATCGTGAAGTGTAGGTGGTCTCTATTAGTGTTTGAGGGGATGTGCCAAGAATGCGCCCTGCCCGTTCGAGGATGTATGAGTTGTACTGTATAGGGCTAAAGCATAGCAGCTCTTGCGGTGGGACCCCAATAATAGAGGCCGCCTGGTTGATGATGAGCCGTTGTTGTTCCGTCAACAGTGTGACTGACGCAGGATATGTAAGTTCCGAGTGGCTTAGAGAGCTGTAAGAATCGTCGCTAAAAGAGTGAGGCCGTCGCCTCTTGAGGGTCGATATGCCGTCCTGTGATTGTCAATAATGACTGTCTTTCGTTGCGATCGATCTGTGAGCTTGAGGAGAGGGCAGTGGAAGTATATGGAGTGAAGGTTGCAGAAAGGAAGAGCAAATGAAAGGACGGTGTGTGCTTAGAGAAAGATGGGTGGGTAGTATGCAAAATATGTTTGGAAGTGGAGGGGGCGAAGGAGGTATAATATATTGGGAGGATGTGCGTAGTAGGTTGGGAATGAGAGGATACACCTGAATATGGTGTTGTTGAGCTTTGATGAGGATGTCCTAAAGGCAAGATCGGTCGAGTGCCAGTGTGATGGGAACAGTGATGACTTATATCTTCTAGGGAGGTGTATTTATAAAGGACTTGAACAGGAGACAGATGCAGAAAGAATGTGAGTATCATTCACTTACCATAGTGGCATTGGACTCCGGAAGGGTGTGCAGGAATTAGGTGTCGATTGATATACTTCGTGGAATGACAAGCGGTGGAGAACCTCAGCACGAGAGCTGAGACGTTCAACCTCAACGAGAAGCAGAGAAAATAAAAAGAGCCAAGACGAGGCAGAGAGCACATAAAAGGGTGTAGGAGAATGCACAACCAGTGTTGCCTGGCGTGTAGCACAGCAGGACGGCAATACAAGGGGAGGGGGTATCAATGAACGCAATGACGTGGAGAATAAGCTGGAAACCAGAGCGGTTTTGGCAAACCCGACCCGGAGTTCTTCAGGCTGGACCCAACGGTCATCAAGACCGACGGGGAGATGGTAACGGAAGGGAGGAGGGTTGTAAGCCGACGAGAACGGAATATTGATAGAGACGTTGAAATACAAGGGACAAATGAAGATGTTGCAAAACAGAGGTGAGATGAACTAAGAGGGAGACAAAGTCAAGAAAACAAGAGGACAGAAACAAAGAAAGCAAAGGCGCAAAGTGATCAACTCAGACCTGTCCGCCGTGGCTGCAACGTCGACTTTGGGCCTCGTGATACCCTTGTCGTGGGCAGACTGGAGCTCGAGCCGTCTCACGTTCCGCCCCGGTCGGAATGCTCAACTTGACGTTGCTGGAAATGAGGACAGCCCCTTGGATGAGTGCAGAGAAGGAAGAGGTGTGTGTAAGTCAAATGGGGGAGTAAGTGGGGGACAATGGATGGGTGGAATCTGTATGCAGTATCAAAAGGGGGCTTGTTCTGAGGCAGGAGAGGGTGGCAATCCCACAAGTCTGAGGTCCCGGGGACTAGAGCCTGGGTCACTGGGGGAATTTGGACGACGGTCAAGAAACCTGGTGCAGAGACTGCGGCCGGGAGGCCGGGAAAAAAAGGAAAATATAATTGGCACAATGCGGCCTTGAATATGAGAAAAGTTGAACCCAGTCGATACGTTATCTCGAGTAGATTCGTACGTCTGTTACAGCCGCTTGAACGTAAATGAGGCGGTATCAATGCCTTCCAAGGCGATGGATGGCGTCTCTGGCGCCAAGATCTCTGTGGTTGTTGAATGAGCGTTATTCGTTCCGGCCTCGAGTCGCCGAAGTCGCGAGTAAGGAAGGTAAGGAGCGGCAGCAGGGTCGTTGGCCGGCTTGCTTCCACGACGCAACGTCGTTGTGCTTCACGACCCACTGCACAGCTCCCGGTGAGAGAGACCTTGACTGCACGGCCAGACCGGTAGGCGCGTCGCTGTACTGGTCACGAGATGCGCGCAACAATTCGTCGCGAGACACCCAGTCATCGGCGGAGGTCGAAGAGCAGCGGCGAAGGCACTGCGCTGTCGACGATACACGCTGGCGGGTCCAGAGGCGGACCGCTGCGTATATTTTGTTGAGCAGCTGGGATCGAAAGGCGAAAAGCGGCAATCAGAGTGCGACATCAAGCGACCAAAGTAAACGACAAAACATCATCGAGGCTGCTTGCTGAGCGGTCCGGCGACAAGAGGTTGATGGATGTTCTTTGCTTCTGACCGATGAGAGAGTCCCAGCAAAAAAGGGGTGTGCGGGAGCAGTGGACGGGGGTGTAGGAGGAGTGGCAGCGGCAGCGGCAACAAGGCGAGCAGAATGAATGCGAACAATAGCTGCACGGCGTACAGATCTCGGTGAAGAAAAGTGCAGACGGCGAAGATCGTGTAGGTACAAAAGGGGAGGTGAGAGAGTGAGTGCGAGGATATCCGTCGCGTTGGATGTGGCTGTGGTCCCTCTTTTGCCGTCAACAAAGCTCACCGGTTCGGGCGGGGGTGGAGGAGAGAAAGGCCGCTCGCTGAGGGAAGGCGCAATGGTGACTATTAAGATGGGGGATGCAGGAGCAAATGTACGAAGAGGCAGGGCAAGAAGGAGCGACGGGGGGAAGGGGGTGTATGATTATTCGATCAGGTGGGACGAGTGCGAAAAGATTGGCGAAAATTGAAACAGAAGAAAATGGAAGGGGAAGGCACTGGCGAGAAGAGAAAACATCCAAGAGTTCACGAGTGCGAAATACATCAGCGGAGAAGGGAAGGAACGAGGGGCAATTGTAGGAATGAAAATGAGTCGACAAGAAGGCCACAGAAAGTGCGAACAGACACTACCATGACGACCGCGCAAATAGGAAACTGCGACTCGCAAGATTGCTCGATAAGGGGGGGGGGGGGGGGATAGAACCGGCAAGAGAGGTCGAGAAGCCCAGACTGTCAGGGCTAGAAGCAAGATTCGTTCAATCGCGCACGACTGCAACCCTGCGCTCACCGCACAACAAGCAAAGAGAAGAGAAGAACAACCAGCGACAAGTCTGCCGTCTGTCACGTTTTCCGCACATGCATCGACTGGCGGTGCGTCCGGCAAGACATCGACACGCCAAGCAAAGAAACAGTTGCGCCAGATAAACTCCTCCTGACACAACTCAGGCTTTGCATCAACAGAAAACACAAGTTAGCTGCGTTGCAGAATGGCACGAAGCAACGCAGGGCTTCCCGCCATGTGCCCAATTGGCGATAGCGCGCGATAGGGTACCAAGTCGCGAAGAACAACGGGCGGGCTGTATGCACCACAAATTGCGCATGCTCAGTAGAGCCGCCAATAGGAGCAAATAGGGACTGTCGAACAATCCCTTCTATCCAGGCAATAACAGTAAGTACGAAGTACTCCGTATCTTATGTTGTATCTTACAAGGGCATTATGTCACTACCGGAGCAGGGGACTCTGGGAATGGGGAGGAGCCGAGACGAGGGGAGCCGACGAAGCACAGCGGTGAGGCACATGAAAGGGAGGACAAGGAGCACGCCAAAACTAAGACTCAATCAAGGACAACAGCATCGACCGGGAAGTGGAGGACCAATGCCAAGGTTGCACGCACTGCAGATGTCGGAAACCAGGGAACACAGACGAGACAGAGTAGGAAGTGCAAGCAAAGCGACCACGAGCTGTCAGTTCTCGGGTTTTTGTTCTTGGTTAGGAACGACAACAGATGGCAGGCTAACAAGACGAGGGCAGGTCAAACTGGCTGTGCCGACCGCAGGAAACGGAGGTCCCTCGGTTGCTTGGCCTTGTCCTCGCTTGCCACCTTTGTGTCCGACAAGATATTACCCACACCAAGAAGCGAGCGGAGTATATTCGGCGGTCCGGCAAACTAGAGTCAGGCCTCTCCCGCTTCCATATCTCCTGCAAGAGATCGCGAGCAATACAAACTGCAGATGTTCCCGGCCAAAAGACTTCTCATTTCGAGCTGGCACAAAACGAGAATCAAAAAGAAGCTGCATGGAATTCGGCAAAGTTTCCGTGGCACACACTAGCAACAAACTACCCCGTACTCGATGTGACACTAGTCCAGACAGCCCGTTCGTTTCGTTGCTAGTTGATGTTCCATGTACTAGCTAACGGCTGCTAGGACAGGCTCATTGGTTTTAGCTAACACCACGCACGCCGGACTGAGACAGGAGCTGTGCTCGTGCCTGTGTTCGTGCGAGCAAAATGTCGGACATATTTTCCAGTATTCGCGACGGCCTCGATGAGAAATGTTGTGCATCAACCTCGAAAGTCCTGATCTTCCCACGGCACTCGACAAACCCGCCGACCAGCCCCAGCGCTGTGACAGGGTTCGGCTGGGACAAACCAGGAACTCGGTCGTCAAGTCAATGGGCTTGCGTGAGGACACCAGTTCGGCAAACCAAAAAAAGCTTGCGTGTCCAATATTGCGAACTGGGCCTTGCATCGGCACTTCTTGGCAACTGAAAAGGGCCACCCATGATGTGAATCGTGTATACCAAGGAGGAAATGACTGCTGCGAAAGGATGGTGTGCGGATCGACCTCGACGCCCATGTGCAAAACGAAGCAGCCAACACTGCGTCGCGAGGGATCCATTTGGAAGTGGTCTCGCCTCTTTTCCATCCCGCGCGGAATGTGGAGATATCTCCGTGTGGACAATACAGAGAAGACCAGACTACATAGGAACGGAGAGATGCACGAAATGGGATTAAAGGGTGGAGCACTCCACGAGGGAACCCGGGTTTGTTAGCAGGAAGGGCCCAAAAGAGATGGTCACAGAAACCAAAAATGCGGCGGTCCGACAAACGAGTTGCCTAAAGAGATGAAGACAGAAATGGATTGGTGATGATAGGAAGGGCGGGCTCGGTTCCAAGGGCGAGGTGCCGACCGCGCCATTTGCTTCGAAAAAGCTTCCATCTGGCGTCGATGCATTGCTCATCTTTCGCGAATGCTCGCCACA